CTTGTCACACCCTGCATGAGGACACATATCGCTGCATGTCGTTAGATGAATCAGGCCAGTAATATTGACGGTGCAGTACTTTCTGGGTTTTATCAACCCCAAAGTGTCCGGAGAGGTTCGAATCGTGGATCTCCTGGATAAGAAGTTCACGCAGCAGTCGGTGGTTCCAGCTTTTAGGTAATAGTCTCCTTTCTGCGTCGTAGCCTGCTGATGATTTCCTGTTGTGAAGAATGGGTCTGTCGTGTAGCCGTGGGTAAATAGTCCGGTAAGTAACGGGTTCGAGTGGGTGATGAGTACTGCAGCGGATTGTACTGTCGGTCGGGTCAGGGCGTCGGCGATGTTATTAGCCCCCTTTTTGTACGTGATGCGGTAGGTGAAGTGGCTCTCCATGTAGTCGAGCCATCGAATTTGTCGTGGGTTGAGGTTGGGTTGGGCTCGCAGATACTGTAGGGACTTGTGGTCCATGCGAACAGTGACGTCGGCGCCCACCAGGTAGCATCGCCATAATTTAAACGCGTCTATGATGGCGAGCATCTCCTTGTCGTGGATCGGGTAGTTGCGTTCGGCTGCCTGCAGCTTGCGTGATTCGTAGGCTATCGGCTGCAACCCGTTCCCTAAGTCTTGGAGAAGCACAGCTCCGATGGCGAAATCTGAGGCGTCGGTTACAATTTCGAACGGCTTCGATGGATCTACGATGCGCAGCACAGGAGGGGAAACGAGGAAATTCTTGAGTTCCTGGAAAGCCGCTTCTGCCTCCTCTCCCCACACAAAATTCTTGTCCTTGTGCAGCAGGTCGGTCAGCGGGCTGGTTATCCCCGCCATATTCGGGATAAACTGCCGGACGTAATTCACGAATCCGAGGAAACTCTAGAGCTCCATGACGTTCGTCGGGGACTTCCACTCCTGTATGGTCTTGATTTTCGCCGGGTCGATTTTAATGCTGTCGCGTGAGATGACGTGCCCCAAAAACTCCAACTCCTGCTTAAAAAGCTCGCACTTAGAGCCCTTGGTGATGAGTCAGTTCTCCTGCAGCCGCTTAAACACTGCATCCAGGTCACGGAGGTGCTGCTCCCATGTCTTGCTAAAAATGAGGATATCGTCCAAGTAGACGATGACACACCGGTCTAGAAGATCCCGAAAAAACCCTGTTCATGGTCAGTTGGAAAGTTGAGGGCGCATTCGTGAGGCCGAAAGGCATCACTGTAAATTCGTAACTCCCGTAGCGTGTGCGAAACGCAGTCTTGTGACAATCGTCGGCGAAGACTCGAATTTGGTGGTAACCGCCACGTAAGTCAATCTTCGAGAAATATCGAGCGCCGCGAAGTTGGTCGAGGAGGTCGTCGGCGCGTGAGATTGGGTAGCGAGACTTGATGGTGACCCGGTTCAGCGCGCTATAGTCGATACACATGCAAAGCCCGCCGTCCTTCTTTGGGGTGAACAGAATCGGTGCTGCGAAAGGAGATGTGCTGGCCCGAATGAACCCTTTCTCCAACAGTGCGTCAATTTGTCGTCGCAGCTCCTCGAGTTCCGGCTGGGTCAACCGCCACTGTGTCCGAATGGTTGGCTGCGCTCCAGGTTCCATCTGGATTTTGTGGTCCTCATATCTCTTTGGTGGCAGTCCAGGTGGCAGATCGTCGGGGAAGATGTCCGGGTACCTCCGAATCAGCTCCGCTAAATCCGGTGGTACAGCTGCACACAACTTCTCGATGTCCTTTCCTTCGGTGTCGACCGCCAACTCGCGTAAGCAAACAGCGAACAGTTGCGCGCCTGTGTTGAAGTGGCGAGCTATAGTGATAGCTTTGACGCACGGGGCTTGGATGTAGTCAGGCGTCCATGCAGGGAGTTTAATTAGCCCCTCGTGCTTGTTGATGTTGCACGATCCCGTTGTCCAGTCGATGACGGGGTTGTGCCGTCGCAGCCAATCACGTCCCAGCAGCACGTTGCAGCCGTCCAATGTTGTCGCGAGGAACTTCATGCTGAAGCCGAAATCGTCGCCGCATTCGATCCTGACCGTCCGTGTTTCTTCCGTTATCGCCAGAGGCGTCCCATCCACAAGGCGGGCGTCAATTTCGGGCAGACACCTGTCAAGTTGCAACTTGCATTTTTTTGCGCTCGCCAAGTTGAAGAGGCTATGACTGGCCCCTCCATCGACGAACATTTTTAAGTTATTTTTTAGCACCTTGCCAGCGACTAGCACAGGGTGATCCACATGTGTATCCCCGTTATTCGGCCGAGTGCGATCGATTGCATGAATCGGAACCACGACTCGATGGGGATGGTGGGGCTCGGGCGACGGAGCACAGTCAGTAAAGGGCCCGCTAATTACTGACTCTTCCCATTTCCCTGCTCCTTCCTGTCGTTCCCCGTCAGCGGCGTTTTCTCGTGGCAGTCTCTCATGTAGTGACCCGTCTTCTCACACCGATAACACGGCCCCTTAGGAGGGCGGTCGGGTGTGTGGACGGCGTTGATCGTGGCCCGATGGGTCTGGCCACGAAAGCGGTTTCCCTCCCGGAAGCTGCTCTCGCGTACTGCATCAGCGCATCTGTGGACTCCGCCAACTGTACTGCTGCAAGGAATGGCGTCGGACGGCCCCTGCGAACCTCGTACTGTATCTCATATTTGAGGCCGCTAATATATTTATCCAACCGTTCAGCTTCCGACATGTCATCGACTTGGTCGGCGAGGCTCATAAATGACGCTGTGTAGTCTTGGACAGAAGCCATCTGCGACCATGCACGCAGCTTCTGTCAGAATAATATATAATTTTATATATTGTTTTGTAACTGCCTGTAGTGTAGACTACTGTAGTTATACAATATTCTGTTTGGTGGTGCACCTTTCTTCTTGCCTATATGTACTGCTCGCTCTATAGTGAAACCCCTCTCTTCTCTTTTCAACTTTCTCGACTCTCCTAACTCAACTCACTCGAACTCAAGCCATGGCTCCCAAGCCAACTTCTTCCTAGTTACTTTGACAGCTTCATGCGAGCTTGCTCCGAGACGGATACGTGCTCGAAGCGATCTCGTAAGGCTGCGCCCCACTCCTTCCACGTGCGTATCGTGGTCACTACGAAGATCGATTGTGCCACTTGATTAGTCACTGTTGAGGTCCCGTCTACCGCATGTGTCACACCTGTCGGCGTCCTTGTTTCCAAGGTTCGGCGCCACCACTCAAGCGCTGCACCTCGAAGAAGCGAAACTGCGTAATTAATACGCGTGGCGTCGTCATTAACTCCGGCTGCAGTAAAAAAGACCTCGACCCCGAACAGCCACCCTTAAACCGTAACCGTCTTGTCCGTAGGATTAAACGGGGGCGGGTTAACGGGCTTGATCTTGATCGTTGTCACTGCAACTGGCGCTGCTGCCGCTCGCTGCCTGTCCTCCTCTTCGAAGTCACGTGTGAGCGCATCCAGTGGATTGCTCATCGCCTGACTGTTGCCCTCGCCTTCGTCCACAGGTGACTCCTGACGCGCTTCACCTCGCGTCTGGCGTAGCTCGGCGTTTTCCTCTCGCAGCGTTGTCACTTCCGCCATTAATGTCTTCATGCTCTCCTGCATTTCTGCCACTTGCGCCATCATCCTGTTGACTGCCTCCTGATCCATATGCCTAGCGCTACGTCTGGTGGGCAATCGGGTCTCCGTGGCCTTCAGGCAAGTGAAAACACTAAGTATCGGAGTCGGGCAGGATTGAATTAACAATCCCTGCAGCCAACCGTCGTGTAGTCACTAAACCAGCCACACCCTATGCCACCAAACTACCCTCGGAAAAGTGGGGTGAACTAGGAAAGTAGCTCTGATACCAGGTGTTATGAGTTGTAAAAGAGAGTGCGCAGGTAAACGAATAACGAGGCTGTGACTGAATCAACTGCGAATACAATGAATGCATAGACTAATGTAGGACTAGTCTAGCTAGGAGGAAACCTCGGACGAGCGAGGTTGGGTGCAGGTTTGGCGATGGGAATGCCGAAGGCGACGCGAGGAGCCTCGGCAGCGTTGAAATCGGCCGAACGTGCGAACTCTGAAGATCGGGTTGTACGCGAAGCAGTCAACCCCGATAAGGAATTCGGGAAAATTCCTTACAATCAGCCTAGTTTGAGCTTTCAATCTGTCTTGTTTGTGATGCCTATAGAGTTATGCTTTAGTGGGCTTGTTAATCTTGAACTTAGTGAAGTTTTACCTCATCTACTAAGACTTTCCAGCGTTTCCAGTCACAGCTACTCTGTTATACAAATGCGGGTGCCTGGATAGTAAGTGACGAACGATGAAATGCAAGGTGTGTTCTGAAAGGACGTCGGAATGCGGTTCAAGGAGGCTTTTGTGTGATCCAGAACGTTCTGTGGGAAGTGAAAATGGTTCGACCCGTCAGGGATCGAGATTCGAGCGGGCGATTGAAGGTGAGAATTCTGCAATTGAGACGTGGTAACGCTGCTACATAAGTTCCACAACGAGCTGTGTGGATGTGTCACTTCGCCGCAGTAATGGCCAGAGTTTCAACACCCTCGTCTTGTCAAGCCCTAGCTTCGCCTAGAACGAGGAATCATGGCGCTGCGGCAGCGCCTAAGCACATGCAAACAGCCACGAGATGAGTGATTTTCACGCAGGTGGCACGGCGCTACTGTCGCTCGATTCGGAAAGATGATACTCGCGACGCCTTTCTTGCTGGTACCCCCTTGCCAGAAAGCGGGGAGCCGTCGCATCGCAGAATCTCCAGCTAGCTGCTTGCTGGTCGCGTTCGATAGCCTCGTTTGCCAGCTTGGCAGCTCTCGAGCACCTTCTATCATCCAATGTTGCGAGATTCGACACTCCGCGGTAACAATCCCGTTTCACGCCCGCGAGTCCATCTGCCTCACACGTGTGGGATGGTCGACTTCAGACTGGTTCTTAGAACGCCCTTGCGGCGTTTTTTTTACTTGGGAACATTCGGGTCAGGGCTAATTCACTTTCCCGCTCGAGCGTTCACCGGGGTAATTCTACTTCAGCGTGAATCTGAGTGACTGGGAAAATGGCAGCACGAAATTCCTACCACCACTGGTGAGCAAGTTTTATCCTCTTCCCGCTTTCCCGCTTTCTTGGATTTTTTGAACTGATAGTAAAACGGGAAAAAATAAGCTTCCTGTCGCGTGTTCCCGTAGACATGCCAACCTATTCCGTCTGCCGTGCTTCATCTGTGCAGTGGATGGAACAGCTCGCATGGCCCACCACGGGGGTCTCTCTCTGCCTTCTTATGGCCACTTCTTTTTCCTTAAAGTTCACATCAATATTCTACCACACCATTTTCACAGAGAATGGACTCTATTCAGTTATGCTGATAAGATCATAGTGGGATGTCTGCAAATTCTTGCTTCTACCTGCTGCCTTGTTCCCTTTTCTGCACGCATGTTAACCTCTACAGTCCAGGAGCCTTCAGAAACAATCAATTACCTGAGACAAACAGGTGGGTCTGTGTACAAAACTGGTGGTGGAATTCATACGGCGCAATATTACGTAATCAAAGCCATACGGCACATGTTGGTACTGATCGTGCCTTGCTCATCAACTACAGTCTCTATATCTGTTACTGTACCAATAAATCCAGTCCTTTGGTAAGTGTTATCCTCTTCTGTGCGGCACACAATTTCAGGCATGCTGAGCTGGCACGCCTCGCTGCAAAACTGAAGGACCTGTTCGAGCGAGAAAAGTTCACCGACGTGGTCTTTGAGGCTGCTGATGGGACCAAGATTCGTGCGCACCGCAACATCGTAGCATTATGGTAACATGTGACTCATGCCTTTGTTGAATACACCACGTACCACCATATATCAAGCTTCTCAACTCTCCTCTGCAGATCTGTTTGTTTCTGATGTCTCTCCTTTCCTCTTTTTCAGGTCGCCAGTGCTGGAGTCGATGCTAGAGGATGCAGCGGATGAGAGGGATCAGGTGTTCAAGCTGGCAGACGTGGATGGCCACACCATGAGGCTGCTGCTCGCCTTCATGTACGGTTTCGACATGACTCCCAACGTACCCGCTCTCAAGGTAATTGCATCCGCGGTCTTTAGAGTGCGCCCCTTTTGGCGTTTCTGGCAGATGAGGGAGGGTCACTCCCAGCATTGGAATCTGTTTTCCCAAGCAGGCATTTGCTGTAATTTCAGTTCTGCAGGTTCTCCTTTCCATTGTTCTCACACTTTTCTTCACCTAAATTGCTAAGTTTCCTTCAACCAACAGCAACATGGGCTTCCACTGCTGGAAGCGGCACATAAGTTTGATGTTGCTGATCTAGCAGACAAGCTGGACCGGCAGCTGTCAGCAGTCGATGTGGAAGAGCGCTCGCTCCTGCGAGTGCTGAAAGCCGTGGACCGTGTTGGGGCGGCACGGACAAAGCAGGCCATCATGCATCACATTAACCACTTCATGGATCCCAAGAAGAGCCAAAAACTGGTCAAGGTACCAACCGGTATTGCATTGTTTTTGGTTCTGTTTTTGTTTTTTTTGTGTACCATTATGGTCCAGAGTCTTAGGAATCTTATGGCTTCAACTTACCGCATGTTCTTTCAGGGTATGTTTGAAAGCAGTGACAAGCATGACCGACTGTTGGCAGATGAGATTATTCATGCTGTTCGTCCAAGTACCGGTAGTAGTTGGTAGTTGGCGAGTGTCAAGTTTATTGAATGATGGTACTGACCGACCATTTTAAGCCATGCACATGCCTGGGGATCGGGCAGTTTCTGTCGCCTGTGAGTCGGTCTGTGGTGTATCCGTCCGTACTGCCTGGGGTCACCAATTAGCTCGTTGACCTCGTGTTTTAAGGGAAGAGCTCCACTAGAAAGCTGACTGAACAGTGCACCGTGTCGTAACCCGCAGAAGTTGTTAGGCGCATGTGCTTATAACCTGTGCAGTACGCTGATTTTCTGTGCTATATCGTCAATGCAGAATCATTGTTTTCTTGGTTGCGTTTTGTTGGCACTACGGTACAAACTTTCTATCTGGATGAATAAGTTCAGGGAACCTCATCCTTATCGGTGATTTATCCAAAATGTCGCGGATTTGTAGCTTCACCGTTTCGAACCGCTCGCTATTCGCCAGTCTGCATATTCATTTATGAACCGCAACGAGATCGTGGTTGACCCTCACTTCCCCCTCCTAACACAATTATATGTGTCTGCTGGTTGCGCTTCGACAGCATCTCAGTTTCCGACTAAACACAGTAGAGTTCGCTGCAGAGAGTCCAGCGAGATTATTGTCGGTACGACGTCGGATCTCTCCTGATCAACGCGGCGCCGCGCCGTCTTTCAGGCGGTCATAGCACATCTGCTAGAGATCGCTTCTCAAGTGCCCTGAAAAACATCTTGCGATGTCTCTGGATACGAAGTCGCACTCGTGCGACCTACGGCACGAAGCGCCGCGTTTGCCTTTGGCGGAACGTCGACGTCTCGTTCGTCCGTTTCCGCCTGGAATCGCGTTCCTGAACTATAAGATGCAGTTGCCCTTAACCCTAAAATCATCTCTCGCCGTAGATTCAGCAGCCCGCTCGCTCATCTCATTCCAGCTTTACTCGGCCCAATCAGGCTCAGGTTTCCGCTTATCTAGACCACCCTGACAGAGTATAATTAGTATCTGAGAGCTTACAAGCTCTGAGTTCACCTCTGCGCTCGCCTCTCGTCAATTCTCTGACAATGGCTGTCGTCGTCCGAATGTTGAAACTCTTCTGCGCCGCAATGGGTGAGTTTTCGGCTTGGTTCTGGAATAGGTTGAGTGCTCGAGCCATTGTTGTTGGAATAGGTCAGTTCTCAATCCCAAAGCGAAGAGAGTGCGTGCTCAAATCCGTTCAAGTAGGTGATAGTAGCTTCTGCTTCGACCAGTTTGTGTACTTTCTTTTAGTCAGGATCCGCACGCCTTCTTTCAGCTCTCCTGCTCATCCCCTTTTCTTCTCTCTCCTGCTCATCCCCTTTTCTTCTTTCTCCTGCTCATCCCCTTTTCTTCTCTCTCCTGCTCATCCCCTTTTCTTCTCTCTCCTGTTCATCCCCTGTTCATCCCCCGTTCTTCTCTCTCATCTTCGTCTCTCCCGGTCGTCTCCCTCCCATCCTTCCCTTTCCCTTCCTTCCCTCCTCTCTCCCATCCCTCCTTTCATCTCTCATCCTTCCGTTTCCCCTCTCCTGTTTTTCTCATAATCCTCGTTCGCCTGCTATTCCCCCTCCTGTTCTTACCTCTCCTTATTTTTCCTCTCCCCTCTCTCCGTCATCAATCATTCCCTTTCTTCCCATTCCACTCTTGACCCATGTCTGTCTGTCTGCAGTATTCGCATTAGTCACATCTGAACTCGCCGTGCCAGCTCTCGCTGCAGTCACCTCCGCTGGAGTCACACCCATCAGCAGCAGCGGTCAGTCAGAGAGCGCCAGTTCGCCTCGCAAGCTGCTGCTGCGTGCCTCCAATCCCAGGCAGCTGGACGAGGTGAACGCGGATGGCTGCACTGACGGCGGTGGTGACACCGGCAGTGGTGGCGACACCGGCAGTGGTGGCGACACCGGCAGTGGTGGCGACACCGGCAGTGGTGGTGATACCGGCAGTGGTGGCGACACCGGCAGTGGTGGTGATACCGGCAGTGGTGGCGACACCGGCAACGGTGGCAGCAGCAGCAGTGTGGACGTGGCAGCCATTTTGGAGGAGCACAACAAGGCCCGGCAGGAAGTGGGTGTGCCGGACCTCTCATGGGACGATGGGGTGGCAGCAACAGCGCAGGCATGGGCGAATGAGCTTGCTTCTAGAGGATGCAAGATGGAGCATGGAGGAGCGGATGGGCTTGGGCAGAACCTGTACTGGAAGGGCCCTGTGCAGCTCAACAGTGGTGAGGACCGGGCGTCAGTGCAGTCATGGGTGGCGGAGAAGGCTGACTGGACGTACAGCCCCGTGCCAGAGGGGTGTGCGGGCGGCAAGATGTGTGGGCACTACACGCAGGTGGTGTGGCGGGATACCACACAGGTGGGGTGCGGTGCTGCCCAGTGTGCGGATGGGGGAGGCATGTGGGTATGCAACTACTCCCCGCCTGGCAATGTGCTTGGGTCAACTCCTTACTAAAACCCGTGGGGAAGTTTTCCAGCAGGATTAAATAACCAATAAATAATCATTGTCCTGGAGGCATACCGGTACTGGTACCTTATCAAGTATGGAGGTTGATGGGGAAGTGAGGGTGCTGCTTACCCTGCCCTTCCCTTGTGTAAGCACTTGCTCAACTGGGGAGCCCCCAAGCACTCTGATCCATATCATTGCAATTTGCAAACCAGGTGGACCTAGGTAGCAGGAAGGTGATCATTTGGCGAAAAACCGAAAAGATTTTGAGAATACCAGAACCATTGCAAGCACTGGTTTGGGTGCCTCGCTTTTGTTGGGCTGAAACGCCCTAGGATCTTTTGTAGAGTTAAAGTCTGAGTAAGTGATGTAATAGCGGAAGCGTTGTGAATGAAGTCCTTGAACCACCTTGCACTAGTATGTGAGGGCAAAGTAAGTTAATTAAAGCAAAGAGATACAGGAGTATATATGAGTACAGAGAATATGAAGAGACATTATAATAACTACTTTACTGTTGCGGTTCGATACAGTGTGACTCGGGCAACTGCTCAATGTCGAGTCAGTTGTATGTCCTTGCTGTCGCGCTGCATTTGTCAGGTCAAAGGTCGCTGACCTTTGACTTTCTCGTTACCTCCAGCAGTTACGTTAACCTCCAAGGGTTGACTCGCGGTGCTTCAATTTGAGTTGCTTCGCTTGTGTCTTGGAGTTTCGATACGACAGAGGCGCTTAAACTATTTGTTCCCAACACTCCCCTTCGCTTCTGGAGTGTCGCTGATGGTGACGTGGCTTTGTCCAGTCAGCAGCATGCAGTACTCGAACTTCTGTTTTCCGAGCTTCTTGGTCAAGTAGTCAGCTGCCATCTCGGACGTGGGACAGTAGGATAGATCGAGGTTCCTTTTCTCGATTTCGTCTTTCACGAAGAAATATCGCAGGGCGACATGCTTCGTTCTGTTCGCGAATCCGCTCTTGTTGGCGATGCGAATCGCAGATTGGTTGTCGCAGAATAGAGTGAAGTTGGGTAACTCGGCTAACTTCGCTTCTTCCAGCAGCTCGCGAAGGTAGAGTCCTTCCTTGTGTTGGGAACTGTCAGAACATTATAGCTTATACTGTTGTGTAGGCTATAGTGGGGTATCCCATAGGGGGTTCAACCCAATTAGGGTTTCCTATATCTACTCACTTCATTCATAGTTGATCCATTCTCGTTCTCATCTTCACATGGAATCAGAGCAGGTCCCCTCCTAGGGACTGTTCCTTGGGCCCACCGAAGCGCGCTCCGAGTCGCGCTTTCCTTTTTTTTAGCGGCCCGTCGTGTCGCCCCTAGCGGCCCGTCGCGCCGCCCTTACGGACGCGTCGAGCCGCCCTAGCGGCAGCGGCGCGCCGCTCTTACCTGCGGCTTCGCGCCGCCCTTACCTGCGGCCTCGCGCCACCCTTACCTGCGGCTTCGCGCCGCCCTTACCTGCGGCTTCGCGCCGCCCCGGCCCGTCGCCGCCCTTACCTGCGGCTTCGCGCCGCCCTTACCTGCGACTTCGCGCCGCCCCGGCCGGTCGCCGCCCTTACCTGCGGCTTCGCGCCGCCCTTCTCTGCGGCTTCGCGCCGCCCTTACCTGCGGCATCCCGCCGCCCTTCGCTGCGGCGTGCGCCGCCCCTTGCTGCCGCTCGCGCCACCCTTCTCCGCGGCCCACCCGTCGCCCGACCTGCGACCCACCCGCCGCCACACCTGCGGCCCACCGCCGCCCTACCTGCCGGCCTCACCCGCCGCCCTACCTGCGGCCTCACCCGCCGCCACACCTGCGGCCCACCGCCGCCCTACCTGCGGCCTCACCCGCCGCCACACCTGCGGCCCACCGCCGCCCTACCTGCGGCCTCACCCGCCGCCACACCTGCGGCCCACCGCCGCCCTACCTGCGGCCTCACCCGCCGCCACACCTGCGGCCCACCGCCGCCCTACCTGCGGCTTCCCGCCGCCCTCCCTCCGGCCCTACCGCCGAGCCGCCCAGCAACCGAGCAGCCGAGCCGCCCAGCAACCGAGCCGCCCTGCAGCAGAGCCGCCGAGCCGCCCAGCAGCCGAGCCGCCGAGCCGCCCAGCAGCCGAGCCGCCGAGCCGCCCAGCAGCCGAGCCGCCCAGCAACCGAGCCGCCGAGCCGCCAAGCAGCCGAGCCGCCCAGCAGCCGAGCCGCCGAGCCGCTCAGCAGCCGAGCCGCCGAGCCGCCCAGCAGCCGAGCCGCCTAGCAGCCGAGCCGCCGAGCCGCCCACTAGCCGAGCCGCCGAGCTGCCCAGTCTGGTGAGCACACCGTTTTTTCTCCTACACTGCCCTCACCCTACTGTTTGCACTGCTAGTCGTCCGTCGTCATGGCTACCCCTAGTGTCCTCACGTTTGACGCTGAGGGTCGAGCCGTTGACTGTGAGGTCTGGGTAGACGACCTGCAGCTGTTCTTACAGTGTGATAGGACAAACGGCCTCTCTCTCTTTGACCTTACCTCTGGTGCTTCCCCTGCCCCTGCTGCTGATGCTGACGCCACTGTTCGCTCCCAATGGGCCACGCGCGACGCTGCTGCACGTCTTGCTGTGCGTCGCCACCTCCCTACCTCCGAGCGTGCGCACTTTAGCCAATACAAGAGGGCTCACACCTTGTACGACGATGTAGTCGCGCGCTACTCCTCCCCTGCCACTGCTGCACTGAGCCGTCTCATGCTGCCGTACCTCTTCCCTGACCTTGCTGCTTTTCCCACCGTAGCTGACCTCATCACGCACCTCCGCACTAGTGACACTCGCTACCGCGCTGCACTCCCTGCTGACTTCTGCGCCGCGAACCCCCCCCCCCCATGTACATCACTCTGTACTTCCTAGTCACTCGCCTCCCTGACTCCCTTCGCGTAGTCAGGGACCACTTTCTCTCAGTCTGTCCCACCACGCTCACCGTAGACCTCCTCGAGAAGGCCCTCCTAGCGATAGAGAAGAGCATCGTCGTTGTAGGAGCCTCTCGAGGTGACCCTCGCACCCCCATCTTTGAGGGGTGTTCTCCCTCCCCCCTGCTGCCCTCTGTTGCCTCTGCTGCTGCGGCCGACCTCCTTGGTCTTGAGTCGGTCGGCGCGGCGTCTGCCCCTAGCGGGAGACGCCGCCCTCGCAAGGGCAAGGGGGGCAAGGGAGCTGGAGGAGCGGGCGGTGGAGGTGGAGGTGGAGGCGGTGGGGGGAGTGGGGGTGGCGGTGGGAGTGGAGGTGGGGGTGGAGGGGTCGGTGGCGGCAGTGGAGGCGGAGGCGGCGGCGGCGGTGGCGGTGGGAGCGGAGGTGGCGGTGGAGGCGGCGGCGGAGGCGGCGGCAGTGGTGGAGGCAGCGGAGGCGGCGGAGGCGGTGGGGGTGGTGGTGGAGCTGGTCGCGGGTCGTCGCAGAGGAGTGGCTCCGGTGGTGGCTCGCGCCAGCAGCAGCAGCGCGGTCGTGAGACCCTGTCCCCTCAGCAACTCCGTGAGTGGTACACTGCACGCCAGCGGGGTGGGGGTTTTGGTCCGTGCACCTACGTCCTGCGCACCGGCGACCGTGCGGGTGAGCAGTGCGGGGGTGCGCACCCCACCCAGCGCTGCTTTGGCCGCCTGACGGACGCGTGGCGTCACCAGTTCCCGGAGGCCTCAGAGATCCCTCGGTGGGGCGAGATGTCTAGGGCGGGTGTGGCTATCTTTGATCTTGACTTTGATGCTATTCTTTCTGCCATGTATGCTGTGTCTATTAGTGATGAGGGTGACTGTTACCGGTGTTTCCCGCCCGATCCGGGCATTGAGACTGCTACTCTAGGTACTGGTACGGCTGCTGCCCTAGGTGCTTGCGACGCTGCTGCTCTAGGTGCTGGTGTGTCTGCGTCCTCAGGTACTGGTGAGTCTGCGCTCTCAGGTACTACGTCGGCTTCGGCCTCCCTCACCTTCACCCTTGACTCTGGGGCGTCTCGCTCCTTCTTTCGGGACCGCACCACACTCACGCCGCTTAGTCGGCCGGTTGCGGTGTCTCTAGCTGACCCCTCTGGGGGTCCTGTCCTGTCTCGCTTCTCCACAGTCCTCCCGTGTCCGGCGGCTCCCTCTGGCACCCTGTCTGGTCTCTACCTCCCCTCGTTCTCGACGAACCTGGTGAGTGGTGCTGACCTACAGGATGCGGGTGTCCACCAGTTCACTCCTGCGCGTCGGCGAGTGACCCACTGTACAGAGGCTGGCACAGGCCGACACCTGGCTACGTTCACCCGTCAGCCGGGGTCGAGCCTGTACACTCTGACCACTGCGTCTCCTCCAGTTGCTGAGTCTGGTAGGGTAGCTGCGTCGGGTCAGGTGTTAGCTGCTGCGTCCAGGTCTGGTCCTGAGTCTGCCCCCTGTTCATGTCATCTCCTGTCTCACGAAACCCTCCTCTGGCACCACCGCCTTGGCCACCCCTCTCTGCTTCTGCTTCGAGGCATGGCCTCCCGTCTTCTTGTGTCTGGAATCCCCCGGTCCCTCCCTCCCCTTCCTCAGGGCCCTGGCCCTGCCTGTGTCCCCTGTGTCGAGGGGCGCCAGCGTGCTGCCCCTCACTCCTCCCAGTTTCCTCCGACAGAGGCCCCGTTGCAGACGCGTCACATGGACGTGTGGGGCCTAGCCCGCGTCCGTGGACAGGGTCACGAGCGTTACTTTCTACTCGTTGTTGACGACTAATCGCGTTACACCACAGTCTTCCCCTTGCGCAGCAAGGGTGATGTCACTGAGGTGTTGATCGACTGGATCCGCGCAGCTCGTCTTTAGCTCAGGCAGCGCTTTGGCTCGGACTTTCCTGTTCTGCGTCTACACTCGGACAGAGGCGGAGAGTTTTCCTCTGGCCTTCTGCGAGCCTTCTGTCGTGCACGAGGCATCCGTCAGACCTTCACGCTTCCAGACTCACCGCAGCAAAATGGGATTGCTGAGCGCCGCATTGGCATGGTCATGGACGTCGCTCGTACGTCTATGATGCATGTGGCTGCCCCCATTTTCTGTGGCCGTTTGCGGTGAGGTACGCGGCGCATCAGCT